CTTCGGTTATAGAAAAGGTGAAAGGTTTTCTCATATAATAAAAAAAATATAGAAGATCCCCAAAAACCATATTTCAGAAGAAAATGCAAGAAAAGGAGTGAAGACGCTGTAGTTTGCTCTCAGAAAGACTATGTGAACGAGTCAAAAGGTGTAATAGCACAAATGAAAGCCAAGGAAATGCTTGCTTTCTTATTCAGCTCTGCCATACAAATATAGGCGTCGCATAGATCAAATACATAGAACAGTGTATTAAATACGACAATAATACGAACATACATTCGAGCTCTCTGCAGGTGTGGCCCGCTGCGGCCGCTGTCTGCGATACACTGCGCTGCATCTTCATAGTGACCGAAAAGTTCAGCAAGTACTCCAATATGCAACAAAAGGGGCTTATCGGAGGATTCCATCTCATCTAAAAAGAGCTTACAAGACAGAAGGAAACCTATAAAAAACTAAGTAGTTTCCAAGTGAAGAAACATTGGTCCTTACAAACCTCTCAAACGTAGAACTTTACTGAAATCGATCATCACCGTGGCCGGATCAAAACTCTTCACCCGTAACGACTGGCACAGAAACGAAGTATATTTCATTACCGCAGCAGGCTAAACTTTTGAAGACTTTTAGAACTTATTCGAAGCTCCTAGTGATTAAGATAAGCAACTTCTCAAGAATTAGAAATATGATGAGGTACGAAAAAAATCAACCAAATTTTCATTCTGCTCACCACAGGCTTGATTGAAATAGAGTGGCGATACATATCCATAGCTTCATGATCGAGTCCTTCGGATTCGGCTTTCAGTGCCCAGGCACACCACGCTTCAGCGAGCTGCGGATTATGCTTCAGAGCCGTTTCTATCGTGAGATGAGCTTCGACCATCTGAAAAGCATTAATGTGAAGTGGGGCATTTTGAAGTTGCTCTTGAAAGGCAAGACGCCCGACCGCCCAGGAAATTGACTGTCTGGCATAAACAAAGTAACAATACCATAACGAACAAAATCCCTTAAGATTACCAAATGGAAAAAGAGTTTTTAGCGATCGATAACTGACCGCTCCATTGGTGTAGTAGAGTAACGCGAGTCGTAGCCACGCTTCATCGTTAGCCTTGTTGAGCTGAAGAGCTCGAACAAGATAATGTTGCTGAAGAGCAATAGACATCACGTCTTTCGTTGAGCCAGTTTTCGCCAATGTTGACAATCGTTCTGCCTCCGCAATTAGGGTCCATAGTTGTGAATGCATTTGGGCACACTTACTTAAACTCATAGCCTTCCGTAGACATTCGTGAGCCCTTGAAATAAAGAGAGAGTGG